GGAATGCCCTTTGCAAATGCTCACTGAAATGCCATTTAACTAACCTGAAATTGTTTTCCAAGAGGCAGAATTGCAAGAAAGGAAGCTTTAATGGAATGCTTTTAAATTGTCCCATCAGGGCATGTGAGTGTCTGGCTGGTTTGTATGTTCTGTCCTTGGTTACAACCTGCTGTTATGAAGAAACTGAATGCCCTCAATTCCACAGTAGGCATTGGTAGAATATCCCACTACAGGAAGAATTTCTTGCCATATGCTCATCATTGCTTAGTATCTCACCTATCTTTGAGGTATTTATATCCATCTGAATTCCTTAATTTTAGTTTTTGTCTACAGAATTTATCTAAGTTCTGATTATATAGTCAGAACTGAAGCAGTTTTTCAGTAGGCAATGGAATTGTTTGGTGACCAGATGGCCTAGCAATAAGGGAAGGGATGGAAAGGAGACTTAGAACCACCTTTCCTATCTGTCTGCCCCTGGAGTTTTACTGAACAGGCATGCACAGATATCCCAGCTAAATATAAAAAAATTAGATGCTGGTTCTGTTTTAATGAAAAAGAGGGAAAATAGGTAATGGATGTAAACTGTGAGCAAGATATCTCAGCATCCATTTCTTATTATATTAAAGCAAGAATTGACAGAAAGCCAGGAAGAGTATTAAATAAGTTGATCTGGGCTCCTAGTTATCTCCAATTAAAGCTACTGCTCCTCATTAAGAACTGCATCACTTTCCCTATCCATCTGTCCACATAATAAAGATTTACTTTAACAATGACTAAACAAGAATGCAAGCAATAATAATTCCACTGCTACACTTTGCACACAAGCTAATGAATTTTATATGACATTATTATGTGTTCAAATACATCTCATGGAAAACAGGTCAATCTAACTATAAAAACTAGTTTATGCTCCTAAGAATATGGACAGGTGTGGTGGTATTGGTTTTTTTTTTTTTAAATAATAAAGACATGTTGTTATGAATCAAAAGCAACACTGCCAACTGTATTGAAAGAAGAATGCTGGTAAACAGGAGCAAGGAAGAGGAACCAATTAAAGACTCTCTCACACATAAATAAATGCAACTAATACTTTCAGTATAACCACACAATACAACTCTGTATTTAGCTGATTGTACACATAAATAAAGAAGTGATACAGCTTATTGGATAATTTAGAGTTCAAAGGGTGTGGGTTTTTTTCATTCTAATTAAATTTAAAATGTCTTGAAAAATATTTATGAATATTTATCTATCTCGCTGTATATAAATCAGGAAGTGAGAGCCTCCAAAAAGGTATGAATATCAAACTCTGCAGAGACAGAAGGACAGAATTTTCTGTTTAGACCTTAAACATGAATAAACCAAGATAGGGTTGGGGTTTTT